TCATTTTTGGAATAAAGTAAATAGAAGTATTTGGAGCTACCTTTTTACTGAAAACAGCTAAGAATGCTGTATTTAAAGAAAAAATTTCAATTATGAATATTTTAAAAACAACTCCATGCCAAAATTTAAGAAAAAACTGAGACTATGACACAGTAAAGGAGCTCTTAAATCCTGTTTGCTCTGAGAGTATTTGCTAAACTGAGGGAACTTAGTGGAATTGAATAGGAGTTGTGCTTGTTTGCAGTGCTCTGGGGATAGTTGGAAGTCAGCCAGGGCTTATTCAAGGGACGCTAACAAGAGACTTTCTGCCCCTAATTCTGGAATCTCAAAGGCCTATTTAGTCATGAAAAGGATGAAAACTCACTCTACTTTTAAACAATTTCAAGGAAAGTAACATGGGGAGAGGCTGTCCCTGGGAGATAGTGACCACTAAGTAGATTATAGGAGAAAGTTCACATCACCTTGGTGGTCTAAACATAATTTCAAAATGTGATTTTTTGAAAAGTTTTTTAAGACTTAAAGTTTATCTTTTAAAAAGATGGTTACTTTGTCTGAGGTACAGATACATCATGTACAGGTACAAGCACCCGATGATAAATGTAAACATATTGTATACCTAAAATGTACCAATAAAAGAATTTAAGAAAAAAAAAAGAATAAAAATTATGAGTTAGAGAAAGAAATACCACGTGCTAATTAGACTAAAATATCCACTGCTTCATTCAATAGTATGGATAAATGTCAGATATGGTACCTAATTTTGAGTGAAAGTTATCAAATACAAAAATTCATATATTGTGATTGAATCATTTTATATCAAGTTAAAAATAAAAGAAATGTGAACTCAAAAAAAAAAAGAAATGTGAACTCAAAAAAGAAAAGATGGTTACTTTTGTAATGTCACAGTTGCAGGACTATATGAAGAAGCAATGTATCTCCTTTAAATCATGCCTTTTGTAAAGATATAATTCAACATGAAATTCACCACTTTAAATTATAGAAGTCAGTGGTTTTTCATATACTGGTGGCACTGTACAATCATCATGACTAATTCAAGAACAATCTTGCCCTCTCCCAAAGAAACCTTGTATCTGTTTGCAAAAATTGCATTTTTCTCCTTCCCTTTTCAGCACTAATATTTCATTTGGATTTCCCTTTTCTGAGGATTTCTTTAAATTAAATCATATAACATGGTCTTTTGTGTCTAGCTTCTTTCATTTAGCATAATGTTTTCAAAGTTTATCCGTGTTGTAGCAAGAATTAGCACTTCATTCCTTTTTGCCATTGAATAATATCCCATTGTATGGACATAGTATATACACTACATTTTGTTTTTTACCATGCGTCAGTTGATGGGCAGTTGTTTCCTTTTTTTTTTTTCACTTTTTAAAAAATAGCTTATAGGAACTTGTCTCAGAGCTAAGTTTTTTCACTCTCATAAGGAAGGATGCTATGAACATTCCTGTTCAAGTTTTTGCGTGAAAATGTGTTTTCCATTCTCATATGTGTATATAAACCAAGAATAGAATTCCTGGGTTATATGGTAACTTTGGGTGAAGTTTTTGAGGAATTGCCAAAGTGTTTGCAAAGCAGTTACACCATTTTACATTTCTACCAGGGCTTTATTTACTCTACATCGTAACGAACATTAATTTTTGTATGTCTTTTTGATTAGTGTATGAAGCGGTATTTCATTGTAGCTTTGATTTGCATTTCCCTAATAGTGATTGATGTTGAAGTCCTTCTCGTATATTTATTGGCTATTTGTCTGTCTTTGGAGAAATGTCTGTTCAAATGCTTTGCCCATTTTAATTGAGTTATTTGTCAAAGTACAAATTTAAAATGATCTGGTAAAAAAAATATTATCTGAAGGAGTATACTTTCATTTTTGGCTTAAAAAAGTCTTACCATGGTCAGTGAATAATTTAAGATAACCAAGTGCACAAAGGAATAAGACGTGAGGAATAATCTATAGAAACAATAAATAGTTAGAAATAACCTACAAAAGCTTAAACTAGCCATCATAGGTTATTAAAATAGCAATGCTATACCACATTTAAGTAAAGTTTGTGTTACCTTAAGACACTAAATGTGTGGTAGTTTGTTACAGCAGCAATAGGAAACTAATACAGTAGTCAATTTATTATAAGGACAAAAATGGAAATTATAAGCAGTCCAGAGGAAGGCATGACAGGAAAGAAACAGGACAAGTAGAACAAATAGAAAGCTCAAGACAAAGTGGTAGTTTTAAACTCAACTACATCAATTACCTTTTATAAATATTTAAGGCATTAGAATTGAAAACCCTAAATAAAGAAAAAAATTGTTAATCTGGATTAAAACATTTCAACTTAATGTTATTTATATGAGACCTCTGAAATATGTAAAGTTTGGTAAAATGAAAACAGTTAACAAAAAAAGATATCCTATATAAATACTGTATAAAGAAAGCTGTGTAGTTATATGACTGTCAAATAAAATGAATTTTAGTTTAACAGCATTTTTTAGAGATAAATCACCATACTTATAAGAAGTTAAGTCACCAGTAAGTTATAACAGCTTTAAATTTATATGAGTAGTCTAAATACAGGAATACATAAATACAAAGTACATATGTAATACTAAGATAACCAATTGAGAAAGGTGACTTTGGATTCATTTCTCACATTGGACACCAGGGTAACTATATAGAAAATAATAGCATACTAAACACTAGAAGAAAACACAAGTAAATTATTTATGACTAATATATATGGGAAAAATTTTACTATGACAGTCCAGAAACAAAAAGGAAAAGCATAAATGAGTATGACTACATATGTATATGTATATGTTCATATGTTTACATATTCATAATACTCCAAAATTTTGTGCCAACATGATGCCCCAAATGGAAAATCCCATACCATAAAAATTTTCCATGAACAAAATTTCCTCTAGATATGTAAGGTGCATATGTAACACAAGTTAATTTCATGTTTACACTTGGTTTCTATCCCTAAGATAGCTCATTACATATATGCAAATATTCCAAAATTTGAAAAAATAAAAAAATTCTGAATACTTATGGTACCAAGCATTTTAGATAATGGATAGCCTGTCTGCATATATATGTACTATATGTATATTGTATGTTTGTATACCTATAAGAATACACACTTTTGCATAGCAGAAAATACAATAAAGTAAAAAGACAAAGCACAAAGTAAAATAATATTTGCCACCTATATGATGAACATGAGTTAATCTTCAAAGTGTATAAAGAGCTTCTAAAACTGGAAAAGAAAAAGACCAACAGGTTATAAAAAAATGAGCAGGAGATAATAAGTAAAGAATTCATAGGAATAAATATAGAATAAACATAGACTATTTTCATAACCTTATATAAAAAGGTCCCCAACCTCACTTGTAATAAGAGAGATAAAAATTAAAACAACAGAGGATAATCATTACTTTCCTATCACATTGTCAAAAGTCCAGCATTTAGACATTTTCTTGGTGACAGAACAAAGTGTTCTCATGGGAAGGGGTTCAACAGATGGAGAAAGTAGGGAGGGAAAGAAGGGAAAGGAGAAATTCAGAAAATTAAGATGTGTTATATACATGTACCAACTCCCCATGATGAACGTAATCATTATGTACTGCAAACATGTACTAATAAAAGTACACTTTAAAAAAAAAGTAAGGGCTCTCATATATTGCTATTTGGAATGCAAAGTGATATCACCTCAGAGAGAAGTTTAGCAATACAAACATTCACATACCTATCTTTTGACCCAGTAGCTCTATATCTTACAGATATGTACTGGGAAATATCTGAAAAATATTTGAGAGAATATTCTGATAGAAAAAGATGAAACAATTCAAATTTTCATCTTGATTTCAACAAAACAAAATAACTATTAAAAAATTGAAGCCATAGGGAAAATGTGAACATTCAGTAGTTTCTGATGTTCAATTTTTTTTTGATGTTCAATTTTTTATATGATAATGCTATTGTGGCTATGCTTTTGGGGAAAAAAAAGTACCTTTCAGAGATACTTGGTATGTTATAATCCATTACAAATACTGTTTGTTTTAATGCTTGAAGTGATCCATCTTTAACCAGTGAGAGTCTCTTGAAGTTAACTCCTGAGTCCTTCCTCTGCATCTTTTAAAGATTATTACTTAAGTGTTTATGGTTGAAATTACAAATTGGAATTTATTTTTTTAAAAACCAAAAGACAGTGAGAAGATCAAGATGAAATAAGATTTGCCTTAATTTGATAATTGTTTAATCTGGGTAATGTGGGTTCTGTTGCTCTGTATTCTTTTGCATATGTTTAAAATTCTCCACAAAAAAAATATATGGAGCTTAAATAGGCATAAATGAAGAGAGTGCATTTGGAACAAAAACATTAGACCAAGATCAAAAATTGGACATGAAGTTCTTATAACGCTTTTATAGTGATTGTAAATATAAAACACACTCCCTTTATTTGCATGGTATCTTATTTATGTGTGTGTGTGTGTGCTTCAGATAGAGTTCAAGATATACTTTTTTGTTAATGTAATTCTAAGGATCAAAAGAACTCATAAAGCATACATAAAAGAACTCATAAAGCATATTTATTGGCCCCAAGTATAGAGACTTTGGATTACTAAAATAATTGATCTGGAAGAAGTAAAAATTTTCTCACAATTTATGAGTGCTATATATTCTTTCAAATTTTGCTTGGGCATAGATTTTGGTATTTCAAGTATGAGAAAATTGAGAATGGAATGGGATTTTCCTTTCTTTGCATTTAACATTGAAATCATTCATTTACTGATTTTTGAGCAAACCATTTATATAACATAAAGATCCTAAGTTATACAACATTATATAAGAGAAGAAAAATTTATCTTTCTCTTAAATATTTTTGCTTCAGAACCCTCATTAAGTCTTAGATAATATGAGTAAAAGTGATATCTAATGGTATTAAGTATGATAACTAACTTGCTTTCTATTCTACCAACAGGTTAATAATAAAAATTGGAAGTTTGTGTCTTTTGTTGAATATTGGAAATTGAATGTAATGGCAGCAGAATTTATAAAGAGTTGCTGTAGGGGATGTTTCTATGGTGAAAAAGAAAAGCGCAAGCGTGAGTTTCGTTTTAATTTCAATCAACATTTACTTAGTGCTTTCTTGTGGCATTTCGTAATATAGAGATAAATTAAGGATGTTTTCTAATTTTGTGGAGGAGGCAGAAACAGAAGGCACACTGAGTAAGTATTCCAGAACTCCAATTACTCTGAAGTACAGTGGAAAGAGGAATGAATTCAACTCAGGAGACATCCTAGACATCCTGGACATCCAAGAAGATGGCATTTGCCATGGAATCACAGATAGAATTTAGCAAGCTGAGTGGGAACAAGTAGTAAGAAAATGTACAATTGCTCATGACAGTAGGTGGAATGCTATAGGAAGAAGCAGGGAGAGAAGTGTGTTTTGGGGGACAACATACCCTAACAAAAGTTTTGATATAAATAAAAATAATATCCAATTTATGAGCAGTACATTAAAATATGCCTTTTATGAATAAATGACCAATAGGGAAGAGACCCATAACTTTTTTTAAACCCTTGAGGGACCCTTGAAGATTTTCCTTTCTATTGTGTGGTTTCATATCTCTTCAGAGTTGTGACTGAAGCTTTATTTTTCTCTGGCTCATTCTTGTATTTCTTAGTCTAGGAGAGAGCTTTCTAGTATATTTGAATATGAAGATATTTTAATCCATTTTTCTGGTACCAATAACACAATATCACTAGGTATTACAGATTGGGAAGGTTTTAACAAAAAGAGATTTATTTTGGCTCATGCTTCTGGAAGTCCAAGGTCAAGGGGCCGTATCTAATGATGGCCTTTTTGTTGGCATATTCCCCAGCCATTACAGAGGACATCACAAGACAAGAGGAAGTCAATGTGTGTATCCTGGTCTCTCTCCCTCTTATAAAGCCACCAGCATTCAATTAGGGGGGTTCCAACCTGATGACCTTATCTAATCCTAATCACCTCCCAAAGGCACCACTTCTAAACACTCAGTTTATTAAGTTTCCACCCCCTTAAGGCCTCACAATGGGGATTAAGAATTAACGTATGAACTCTTGGGAGGCAGACTCAAACCAAATCCAATCCTTAGTAAAAGGCTCTTTTTTACATTAAAACATTCCATAAATTCTAGAGAATGGGTAAAATGGGTTATAGAAGCTAAGACAGGGAGAGTTGCTATTACATGTCTAAAGTAAGCATGTTCTTTATTTTGTTTTTTGGTAGAGATTTTTGTAGTCTTGGAGACTTTTGGCATCTTCTCAGAATGGGTTTATGTATTTAAGACTCATGTTAATGAGTAGTACTAACGAATTTTTTTGTTGATAGTATTTTTAAATGACTAGATTTTTACTTGAAAGCATTGTGAAATTAGCTACAAAATAAACTTGTTTCCATCAATGAACTCTGCTTTTACCATTATGATATGATAATGTACCTTGGCAATAATGTATTAATTGCTCAAACATTGGCTGGCCAACATTAATGTAGGTCCTGGAAGTGCTTGTTAGGACCCAGAAGTAGTTTAGGTATCAAGAATTTCTTCTAAAATGATTAAATAAGTACCAAAGTATCCTGGGTTCAGATTATATGTAGTTAATATGCATATTTGTGACTTTCTTCCACTTTTTTTCTTCTATATGCAGTATCTATGGAAAAAGACCTTAAAGCCTCAGTATCAGATACACAAAATACTACTGTCTTTATACCTCCACTGACTTCTGTTTCTGTAAAGTCTCAAGTTGGCTGCAGTGAGGATTATCTGCTTTCTAAATTACCATCTGATGGGAAAGAAGTACCATTTATGGTGCCCAAGTTTAGGTTATCTTATATTCAGCCCAGGACACAAGGAACTCCTTCACATCTGGAAGAACTTGAAGGTAAACAATAAAATGGCAGGATTTAGAAACCAACATGAAACATTTAAATGATGCTTTTGCTATTATTTTGTTCTTTTATATTTTTAATACAAAATTTATGTAAAAGCTTTAAATTTTGCTTTTTGCATGTTTTGCTCTTTCTATAGAAGAACTTAGTGTATAGTATTTTTGTTTTTTGGTTTTTGGAGTTGTTTTTTTTTTTGGTACTGGGCATCGAACTCCAGACCTTGTGCTTGTGATGCAGGCACAGTGCCACTGAGCTAAATCCTCTGCCCTAGTGTGTAGTATTTTTGAAAGATCACATTATGAAATCTGATCACAGTGTAACATATTTGTGGAGTTCAACGATCTGTTTACAGTTTTCTTTTACAGATATAAATCTTATACACAGTAAGCTGCCCAAGTGGATATTTGTTGAATTTCAAGAATGTATTTATTGAATATTGACAAATATATACAACAATATATTCCAAACTCTTAATAAAACCTAGAATATTTGTCCCAACTGCTTTTTGTGCTCTATTCTGTCCATCTTAAGTATCTTTCAGACTGTTCTTTTTTTGTTTTGCTTTTCTCTAATCTTTTCTTTTCTTCAGATTGGATAGTACTGATCTACTTTCACATCTGTCATTTCTATTGTAGTGTTATGCCTACCCAGTGAATGTTTTATTTTAGACATTGCATTTTCAATTCTAAAATTTATATTTGGTTCTTTTTATAGTTTTTACATCTTCTGTAATTTCCTAACTTTATATGATTGTAAGTAAGCCTTTATGTCTTTGAGCTTTAAAGTCTTTGCTAATTTCAACATTTGGGTCATCTAGATTTGGATTCTATGGATTAACTTTTTCTTGAGATAGGCTACATTTTTCGGTTGCTTTGCATATGTGAGGTAATTTTGGATTGTATTCTGAACATTGAATGTTACATGTTATGGAGTCTGTAGATTTGGGTATATTAATCTGAGAAGTTTGTTCTCTTTTTCTCTTTCTCACTCCCCCCATACCTCCTTCTTGTCTTCTCTTCCACCAGACATGTAACTTAGTCAATTTAGACTTTAAATTCTGACTTGAATATAAGCTCTTGGCTGGTGGTTCAGTGGTCAGCCAGATGTATTAGCAGACTTCATAGAAGTTGGGACTGTCTCCAGGATTCCCACCTTTCTTTCCAGCAGCATTGGTTACCTGGAGTCCTACCCTCTGGTTTTCTGTAAATTTCCTATTGGAGGTCATTTTCCCTCCTTACCCATGGAATTGGAGATTGAACCCAGGGCCTTTGTACTAAGCTATATCCCCAGGCCTGCCCTCTTTTCTTTCCTTTCCTTTCCTTTTCATTTATTCATTCATTTTTTCCCTTCCTCCCTCTCTGCCTCCTTCCTTTCTTCCTTCCCTCCTTCCTTTCCTTCATTATGAGACATGTTCTCACCAGGTTGCCCAGGCTGGGCTTCAATTTGCAATCCTTCTGACTCAGACTCCCAGAACGCTGGGATTACAGGTGTGTGCCACCATGCCTGACTATAGGTATTTTATACATCCTGCGTGGTGCCGTCTTTGGCTTACACTCAGGCTAAAAGTCATCAAAAACACATAACTTACTTTGTGCCAGTACTTTTTTTTGAAGCATCAACTATCCAGAATTTCCACTACTTTTCTTTATTCTTCAGGCTTTTGTTTTATTTTGTTTGCTCTAGAGTTTATTATTTGTGAGTTGGGTCTGATAGGAGTGATTTTTTTTTTTTAGAAAGAAGGAAAGGTGAATTCTATTCTTGCCTATTTTATTTTGTGCATATCAAGTGTCTCTCAAGTGGTTTCTCTTAAAAGGGTACCCTGATCAATTGATTTTTTTTTCCTTTCATACTTATTAGCAACTGTGTTAGTTACTTTTCTCTCATTGCTGCGACAAAGTACCTGACACCCAAAGTTAAAGGAGAAAGGGTTTATTTAGCTCACAGTTTATAGAGGTTTCAGTCCATAATTGCCTGGCTCCAAGGCAGGGTGGCACATGGCAGAGGGACGTCACAAAGGAGAAACAGTTCATGGGGCCCACACAGTAGCAAAAGCAACAAGGAAACCTTAACAGCATCTTTCTGCCCCTTTAATTTTATCCAGACTACCAGGATTAAGGCAGTGCCAAACCAATCAATGTATTGGTTTAGTAATCACACACTCTTAATCCCAGCATCACACATTTTAGATTCAGCCACCTTCTGAAAAAGCCACCTATGACCGCCTGAGGCTTTGGAGAGACATCTAGACCCAAACCATAACAGCAACATTAGGATTAAACTGTACAAACAGTCTTGTAATCTCTTTTAGTCACATCATATAATAGGAACATATTCATGGCTTCTTAATGACTCCATAATATTTCATCATATGGATGTTGTACCATTATTTAAAAATTTTTCTATTATAAGGCATATGGAGTATTTTATGTATTATTTGCATAATCAGATAATTGAGTTGAGAGATAGATTAACAAATGAAAATATACTTTTAAAATCATGATATAGTGTATTTACCATTGTTATTCTCTATTTTTTATGAAAAATTATTTCTTCATAGAATGGTTTTTATATTTTCTTTATTGATATCTACTTGTATTACATTAAAATAAAAATTTAAAATTAAAAAAATTTTTTTAAGAAAAATGGGATATATCTATCGAGGAATATGTGATAGCTTTAATTTGCAGTCGCTAGAAAACAAATTGCATTTTGAGTTGAATGAGTGAAAAATTGCTTACAGGCTTGAGAGTAGAACAAAACTATTTAATTTATATTTATTGGAAAGAAAATTATTTAATTAAGTTCAAGAAAGTACTCTTAAAACCTAATCATAGAAATCACTTATATATATGCTTGTGTGCAGGTATGAGTAATGGGCTGAGAAAAAGAAGAAAATTTTGAAAGACCACTATCAGTAGTGACTAAGATTGTGTTTCAAATACAGTATTTGAAATTTGTTTTGGTGCATTGTTTCACTTACTGATAGGTCTGATTGCAGCAGTAACTTATTGCTTTGATAACAGATCTTACCATTTATATTTCCTCTTCTTGTTTTGTATCCTGTATCTACCTATCTATTCATTAGCAATGTGCATTTTGAGTTTTACAAATTTTAAATATGGCTTTTGAGAATTACAAGAAATCGTGTAAATTTTATATTCAGTATTGCAGAACTATAGTTTAGTAATTGAGGGTTAAACTTGAACCTTTAAAATGACATCAGTATGTGCTGTTTGAGGGAAAGATTAGAATTCTCTAGTGACTTACTTGATAAAGGAAAAATGCAATGAGAATACTTTATTTTTTAAATATAGCTTATAAAAATAGTGAATCATCTTTGTTGCTATTACTGTTTTTTTTTTATTGATACATTTGCATGCAGGAAGATTATATTCCTCATAGGAAATTGGGTAGGTACTATTCTTGAGAGATTTCTTACTAGTGATTAATGCTACTCTTGTTACTATAAACAAAGACTTTTATAAGTGTTTGTGTGCTAAATGATTTCTGTTAGTGTTTAAGATGTATAAATGTGTTACTCAGCTTTTCATCACTGTGACTAAATACCTGAGAAAAACAATGGAGGAAGGATTTATTTTGGCTCATGGTTTCAGAGGTTTCAGTCACTAGTCAACGGGCTCTATTGCTTTTAGGCCTGTGATGAGGTAGAAACATGGGTGGAAGGGTGTGGTACAGGAAATCTGCTTACCTTATAGAGCTAGGAAGAGAGCATGAGAGAGCCAGAGAGAAAGGGGCTAGGGACTAGATATAGTCCCCAAGGTCAAGCTCCCGTATCTTCAGCTGGACTCTACCTGTGATTTCCATCACTTCCTGAAAATGCCACCAAGTTATGATTACATCAGTGGATTAATCACTTGATGAAGGATAGAGCCCTCATGATCCAGTTACTACTTCCCAAAATCCCACCTTTGAACCCATGAGCCTTTTGGGGGACATCTCAAATCCAAACCATACAGTAGGTAATGGCTTTCTAATATCATAACTCCTCAGGACCCCTCTGCCTATGTGCTGTACATGGATTGAACCAGGGTGAGGATAAAATCTCACCTCATACTCCATGTTTTATTTTTTTTTTCCTAAATCAATGCAAAATAATTTGTTCTATTTTTTAGCTTAATTCAGAAAATACCCATTTTAGGTGGAACACACAGCTCCACAGAGTTACATTCTTTCAAAAAGAATTAAAAGATGGCAATAATTTTTAAACCTTTGAAAAAACTTATTCTATGTGTATATGATATTCCCAATGTAATTATTGATCTTGAAAGGAATTATATTAATTGTTTTACCCTTTTTAAATTATGAGGAAACAGAAACATATAGCTCCGTGATTTATTACAACACAAAAGACCTATATATTCATCACCCAGCTTGATAATTAGAATATTACCAGCAACCCAAAAGCCTCCATCTTCCCTACCTTTAGTTTTCCTTGGGTTTCACTGTGACATTTTCATGCATTGCATATACTGTGTGTTGATTATGTCCATTCTCTCTTCTACCCCCTCCACAAACTCCCTTGCCCCTTCCCAATCCCTAATTTTTGTCACTGTTCTATTTTCAAGTTTTTTGTTTTTGTTTTTTTTTGCACATATGAGAGAAAATATAAAATACTTATCTTTCTGTTTATGGTTTATTTTCCTTCCTAGGTCTATCTGATTTTCTGGAAATGACAGGATTTCATTTTTCTTTATGGCTGAATAATATTCCATACCATATTTTATCTATCCATCTGTTGTCAGACATTTAGGCTGATTTCCAATTTTGGCTATTGTCAGTAGTGCCATAATAAACATGAGTATACAAGTATCTACTATATATTGTCTTCATTTCCTTTGGATGTCTACCTAGGAATAGTATACCTAGATCATAGGATATTTTTAGTTTTTTTCAGTTGTAATGGTCCTTTTTTTTGTTACTTCTCACCACCTAAGCACATAGTCCTAAATATTGTAGTTTAAATTTTTTTTGACCTTTATTTGAAAGAACTTGTATGTTCAGCATATGTTCTTTTGTTTTTGGGTTTTTTTCATTCAGCATTATATTTATGAGATTCATTTAAGTTGTTTTGTTTTCATATCTGTACATAAGTGTATATTACAATTTATTCTAAGTGGCTGGTTTACATAGTGTTTCTGTATGGCATACTGAAAAGTATTCTTATGTAGCAAGTATATACTGTTTATTTTACTGTTGATGGACATCTATGTGTCATTCAATCTTTGGCTATTATTGGTAATGATACTTGGGAATTTTCATGTGCATGACTCTTAGTGCACACATATAGCAATTTTAGTTGTGTATATGTCTGGAATGGCATTGTTGGGTTATATGGTATAAATATATTCAACTTTGGTAGAAATTGACAGAATTTTCTACAGTGATTGCATCAATTTACATCCCAACAAAAGAGTACAGTACAATAGTTTACATTGTTCTACTTTCTTGTGAACACTTGCTATTGTCAGTCTTTTTAGTTTTAACCTTGCAGCTATGTTATAATATCTCCTTGGAGTTCTAACTTCTTTCCCTCATAACTAGTAAGATTGATAGTGTCTCTTCTGAAATGTGTAACTCATAAACCAATTGATATATAAGCTTGACTCTCCTTTTTACTGATTCACACAAATTCCTCATATGTCCTGAATGTGAACTCTTTTCCAGTATGTTTATTGCAGTATCTTCTCTGTGGGTTACCTTTATACTCTTAAGTAGTCTTGACAAATGGAAATTTTAGATTTTAATATAATTAAATTATTTTCGTAGTTACTGTGTTCTTGTTCCATTTAAGGAGTACTTCCTAATGTTGTAAAATCTTTCTTACAAATTAACTTAAACACAGAACCTTAATTGTTTTTCCTTTATATTTAGTTTAGATCTACAACCCCCTGGAATGAGTTTTTTATGAATATGTTTGCTTGAATGAAGCATTTTTCCCTATATCAATATCCAGTTTTTTCCCCTCTGCTGTGTGAAGCCACCTTGATTATAAATCAGGTGTCCATAAAATGGGTATCTCTTTCAGGGCCTATTATTCTATTCTGTTGATCTATTTTTCTATTATTCTGCCAATATTCTCTTCTTAATGCTCAGTATAGCAAACCTTTTGATTTTTTTTTTGCTAAAGTTTACCTTTTTGTTTACTCTTGGTCCTTACTCTTTGTATATAAATATTTTCTGTTCATCTGTCACTTGATTTCCAACTTAATCGCATTGTAGTAAGCAAATATTCTTTGTATGAGTTCAGTCCTTTAATTTTTAAAAGTTGCTCAATGTTTCTCAGCACATGGTCTATTTTTATGTTTATAAATATTTACTTTCTTCTTGAAATTCAAACAATTCTTTTTCACTTAAAAGATGTTCTATATGTAATTAGAAAAACAAGAGGAAACTTAGATCACAAAATATAGAATTGTCTTGGGGCAAAGAAAAGTACCAACAGTTTATCAGGCTGCCTTAAGAGCAAGATTCCTGTCTGATGTCTTGCATAATACATCACACAGTTAGAACTCTATAAATGCATGCTAATTTTATTTAGATATTAAAGGCATGTAATTTAATGTGACTTGAAGCAAAATTTTCTCCTTTGCCTTGCGTGTACTACCTATTTGTTAATAACTCCAAGAAAAGAATGTAAAATATTAGAAACACTTGCTTTTCAGGATCTGCCCGGGCATCTTTTGGAGATAGAAAAGCAGAACTTTCCAGTCTATCCCATCATGGACCCAGCTATGATGTATATAACCCATTCTACATGTATCAACACTTTTCACCTGATTTGAGTCGGAAACGTTTTCCTCCTCATTCAGAAGCAACAAGACTATATGGATCAGGTATAAAAATTATTTTTTTATACTTTTTCCCTGTGTTTTTTAAAAATTTAGGAATCAAATTAAGACACTGACAGAAATGCTTATTATTAAAAACAACTTTAAAAATAAGAGAAAAATCAACCTTTATAAATGTTTTGACCATCATGTCTTTTCTGTTGTCATGATTAATATAAAAATTGAAAAATTAATGCATTGTCTGTTCATAGTTCATAATTCTATTTAACTTTTCCCTTTTTGGAAGTTTTGTTTTTGAGTTATTTTGTATCCATTTTATATGTTATCTAACCAATAAACTCTACAATAGATAATTATGAGCTTTTTTCTTTTCTAGTCAATTAAAATGAAGTTTAAATGTCATAATGTGATTAGAAATATAAGTAAATAAAATGCTTAAGTAATTATAGGATGTTTTAGTTTCATATTTGAAACTATCAATGAGAGACTACTATATACATCTCTGATTCACAAAATTTTCAGTTTTCAGGGTCAGGTACTGAAAACAAAAAAGAAATAGTTACTTAAGGGCCTGTCTTGTGCTTAAGAGGTACACTAGAAATATCAGGAGTATGTGGGATTCCGAATTGATTTTTTTTAATGTGAGAAGTGCTTATAAAATAATAGTCACATTACATTTAGCACAGAGTACTCACAATCTCTTAGTTTATTCTTAGAAAGATTGGAAAATATAAGCAAAAAAACCTTTTTGATATTTGATGTGCATGTGAAAATGTGTTTGATTTCTATTGACTTCAGTTTAAATACAAGTAAAATAATTGAAAATGTTTTAGATTTCACCAGAAAACGATTTCTTATGTAGATTTGCACATAATGTTCATGATGTATTACTGTACAGATTTAGATTATGGTAAATGAGTAGGATTACAGTGTTTTGTTTTCTTTACTATAATAAGTACTTTTTTCTTGTCCCTTTGTAGTTTGTGATTTAAGAACCAGCAAACTACCTGGTTCCCCTGGGCTGAGCAAGTCTATGTTTGATCTTACAAGTTCATCTCAGCGATTCATCCAGGTAGTTATATAAATTTAATTAGATGAGACAGCATTTTTTTTCCAAATTAAAACTTCAGGAATGTATGAATTCCCTTAGGAATACCATGGTGTGTATTTTTGTAGATGTACAGATATCTATTCTAATACCTGAACAATAAATACTCATCATTTCCTATATGCATTATTTTAGGAAGGACTCAGTTGACTAATAAAAGGCAATATTTTTCTTTTGCTTTTCATGATTTTTATATCTCAGTTGGTATGCACTTATGGAATCTTGAGGCAGCTGTAGTTTAAAATACTGCTATATAGTAGTTAGAAGCATATAAATTTAACCTTCCTTATTGAACATAACCAGCTGGCTATTAAAACATGGTATTTCTATTCAGATCTAGGACTTTGATTTACTGATATTAACATAGTATGCTGTTGTTGAGAATTTTTTTGATACTTTAAAAATCTTTCAATTTTAGTGCAAGTAAATTGTGACTAAAATTGGCCGGGGCCAGAGATTCAGCTCAGTGGTTTTGCCCCCGGCTGCACAAGCGCAAGGATCCGAGTTCAATCCCTGGCACCAAAA